GATACTCTTTCACTCATCGACGAAAATCATGAAAAGTATGTGAGAGAAGGAGTAATGTTTGCAGTGATAGCCGGGGCGTGTTCTCCTCATGATTTGCTGCTTATCATTGAGCGTTTTTATAAGTTGTCGTTCGAATGACTGGCTTCTGTGGCATCACACCTGACCACTGGCGCTCAAAGAAACAGGCTTAAAATCTTTGGTATACAAGTCTTTAGTCCACGTCTTTTCACAATATGACTCCAGGACAAAACTAAGAGGGGGATAAGTTGGACTGCCACCTTCTCAGAGTCATCAAAATAACCTACGCAGCTACAGAGAAAAAATGATCAAGTTGAGCATAGATGTAGTCAATAAAACCGAACTGTAAACTTATTCCGCAATCCTTTTCACCTCCATTTTCTGGAGCAAGCGTCCCCTATAGCTGACCACCGGTCTCCATACGCAGTTGGCTAGACGCCTTCTGCTGTGCCATGCCAATCCACAAAAGTAAACGGAAATTAATTTCCCCAAAACTATGGGTCGTGAAAGTTGTAAATTTGGTGGAAAATTAGCTTAATCCGTTCTATGTGGCTCATAGTATTTTGTTTAGTTGGGCAAACTTCCAAGGTCACCGATCACCAGCAGCTCGCATGTTACAGTCAAATTACTAAATAAAGCACGGACTAAAATCCTTGTGGTTTCTATAGAGGAGAATTTCGGTAGCTCAGGTAGCGTAGATGATCGTTGGCTTGTTCGCTGAGCAGAGCAATCTGGTTGCCACTTGGCACCATCTGATAAAATGACCAAATGATAAGATTCAGTGGATTTTTTAGCTCACTCAAAATGATGAAGAAGCAGTGGGGTTGCTTCATCCTTACATTCGGCCCCGCCCATCCCGATAGCCCTCTCTGATGCCCCTCCTGGACATTTTACTCTGCGGAGTCAAATCCCGTGGTCGTTTCAGTTCTCCGGAATATAACCAATTCCCCATAAAAACCCTTGTGCAACTCTTCTCCAGCTGAGACTTAGCTCACTTCTTACCAGTAGAACATCTCCATTCTACTCCTATTGTCCAAAAGTTAGTTGATGTTTCATTTGCTTCCGCGACTTGCCTCATCCGGTGGCTGTTTGCTGTTTGCTTGTTCAAATGACTGAACTGTTTTACTGGCCTGGCTTCCCCCCGGCCAGATAAAATATCTGGTAGCATGAGTTATTTATTAATGCGCAAACCGCACTTATGACTGTTTGAATGAGTTTCCACCTTGCAGATCTAGTAGCATGCACGGGACACGAAAACCTCATGTAGTGGACGGGTACGCCCTGCATCGAGGGTCGCTTGTTACGTTGCACGATTGTGCGTTCGTATACTCGCCACTCCTCCAGTAACGCGGGTGTTAGTTTGACGTAGTAGACCTCAGTTAAGCTGCGACTCTTATCAATTATCTGGGAAGCTGTTGCTTTTTACTTGTCTACTGTCACTGTTCACATTAACCCTTCTTTCTGCACAACAAGGACTCTATGTCATGATGATTGGTAAGCCAAAAACTACCGCTCGTTCTCAACTAGTCCAACTGCTAGCCTCCCAGCTAGCTACCTCGACGAAGAAGTTTTTCACCTTCCTAGAACTAGGCACCTACTCTGTCCCAACTAGTACTTGGCCTCTAGATCAGCAAACGTATTCACCATTCTTAGGTCCATTTAGCTTGATGTCATTCCCTGTTAGATTTTTTTCTGTTGACGCCGATGTATTTTATGCCTCCTGACACTCGTCACACGCTACTGCTTTCATTCCATTTCTTTCTCATTGCCCCTACTCCCAAACATCAAACATTGACTGCAGTTGCCCAAACGCCCCGTAGAACTGTTATTCATTCAAACTGACTGGTGTCCGGTCTGCCCTCACACGGTCCTACAACGACATCTGCATAACTCTCTGTGTCCATCTTCGTCTCACCCAGAACCAGCTGCCACGGAACTGCGCACCCCTTCTCCGACCGCGGCGCTCTTGACGACCGTTACGGGGCTGTCCATAAACCGAAGCATGTCAGTGCAATGATGACATGGCACTGTCATACCCAGTGAGATGACGATCCCGCAGCTATTTTCTCCAGAATCTCGACCACAACCCCTCGCCCACTCAAGCCTGTAGTCACAACTGTGAGCAAATTTTTCACCCGGTCCCGTCTCTGGGATGAGCTGCGATTTCGGCTTGCCTTATCCACAAACCCAAATCCGTATACGGTGTTCGGGCCATCCTGTGTATTAGCACCTTGCCCCATCCAACCTATCCCCTGCACCTGACTTCCCTACAGCAGCGCAACCTTTCAGTCGGCTTAGTTTCAGATTGAACTACATTTTTGAGACCAAACCCGCCATGTGCTCCCAATTCGAATTATCCCATCTCCATCTCCACTTCTGCGCGTTGTGACTCTGGCCATTTACCTAACCACACAAGGTCACTCAGGGCCAGCAATGGTTTCCAGCTTTATTTCATGCCAACTGGGCTACGTCTTCGGACTAGTCGGACCTCATGCCCATCGTTCCCAACACGTTGGTAAAGAAACCTATTATTACTATTTCATTGGATATTCCCCACTGTTTATGACGTTGTCCTCTTTTTGTGCAATCCACACCGCCACAAACCCTCAGTCATGCTTCCTTCTGACTGTAACCATATGATCATGCCAGACGGTATGCCACCCACAAGTTGGGAATAAACATTATTCTTATTACTATTGCAACGCCCCAAAGTGTTCCTTGGTGGAGCCTCAATACCTCGAATCAAGCGGGATTTTTGCAGTGGCCCTGGCCAAAGTCGTTCAGGGCAGCGCTTCCACTTAACGTATCGTCGCACCAAACAGATACCGCACAGGCGAACTACAATCCATCCTGGATGTGGTCATCACCAACGACAGATTCTTTGCTGATCAGGTGTTAATTAACACTTCACTGAGAAGTAGTGATCAATGTGCGATTTCATCTGCTACTTGATCAGAAATCTCGATCCCCAAACGTATATTCGAAACGTCTTTCGTGAAGACCTCTCAGGGGTGTGCATCGTTCTTGAACAAGTCAAAGCGATACCAGCTTCAGTGATAGAATTACATAGAGCCATTGTCCAGATAGTTTACCGGACTGATACGATGTTCGTCCTAAAAAAACCAGCATGCAGTCCGATGGGTCGCAAGCTACCTAAAAGTATTCCGCGCCTTCTGGAAAAAGACGCCAGCTTTTTACCAACAGCTGACTACAGGAAACACAGAAGATGAGCTGACGTTTTGTGCAATGCCGCGTCGCTGTAAATCAACCCCCCCTCAGTGGAACATAAAAAACAAGCCACCATTCTAATCCTCGCCCGGAAAAAGAATTGTGCTATCTAAATACATGGGGCATCACCGCAGAGTCAAGCCAAACGCATTGCGTTGAGGGACAGGACCTGGGGAGCTACGAGCGATCTAAAGGCAGTATCTGAATTTTACAGAGAACATCATGAGGTTTATATTCAGCTTCAGGGTCCTCGCCAATTGCAACTCGCCAAGGCATAAATATGGACGACCCCTAGCCTACTTATTCTTCACGGTGGAGGACATTCGTCAATTCCTTGCGCTGGATCAACCCGTTCCGCCTCTTAGAGCCAGACCACGTCCAGTAAGTATCCTGAGGAAAACGTCGCTCAAGGTGGCAACGCATTTCTAGCTAGTGTTTCGCCAAGACACAATCCTCCTGCTTGCAAGTGAGCAATTGTCACGCTAATCACGCTATCGCCCGGAAACTATTGTGCTGTAAGGCTCAATAGCGTGCCGTGCAAGGTGATGAAACGCATTCTGAGGCAAGCTATCCTGGATCACCTTACTTCCAACAACTTGATATCCCCAGCTCAACACGGATTTCTCCCTAACCATTCTTGCGTAACGAATATGTTGGTATTTATGGATAGCTTAACCCAAGCGGCTTAGGCTAAAGATTAGGGACTCAAATCTGATACATTATTTTTCGGCCCCTCGAAAGCATTTGATCGGGTCCCCCACGTAAGCTGCTCCACAAAATCGAGTCTTACCGGATTCAAAGAGAAATTTTGCGCTGGAGTGGGGCGCTCTTTTCAGCCAGAACACTCAGGGTGAAAGTAGGCTCGACCTACTCTTTTCCGGCGCCGGTCCCAATTGGGGTTCCACACACTTCTATTTCTGATATACACCAACGACATTTTAGATGTTCTTGCACGACCGTGTTGAATTTTTGCGAGCGGCTTGAAATCCTTTAATACCAATGCCAGCGCTGTCCAAATGGATGTAGTCGTTGCAAGGCAGTAGTCGTTGGGCCGGCACCTTACTCTGAATGGCGGAAAGCGCGTCCATTTGTCAATACCCTTTTCTCACTGAATCATGAGAAAACAGCTCAAAAAGCATTTGCTGTTCCACGGTGCCTACGCCCCGTATTGATCACACAAGCCACATTGGCTTACGTCTGACCGTTTCTTCTTGAATATGCCACCAAGGAAGTGTCCTTCATTGAAAGTGTCCAGCGAGCTGCTAAGTAAATGGACCATCCTCAACCCGTGGTCTTCGAAACGCGTCTCGTTGTGCTTGAACTATTTCGCCTGAATTATTGCTTCCTTCAAAGAGAACTAGTATTTACTCATGCACTGTGTGACCGGGGTTTGGACAACAGGATTTCACCATTGATCGAGTAGACACAGGGTGGAGGCAAGGCAAGCAGATTTTGAAGCTCAGGAAACACTTTTGTTGGGCAAATTGGTCTCATTTTGGGCAGTTGCTGCGTTGAATAACCCTCCTCTGACGGTTGTCCACGCTCCATTTAGGATCCAGTTCAAAGCACCATTAGGTACTTTCTATGCGACTCCTTGCGCTGATGAGCTTACTGCTTACTGAACGACAAGAACAAATTCATTCCAAGAAGCTTGGGCGAAAACCTCGTCCTGCGCACCTATCTGTGAGTCGTAACCTGCAGTTGCAGAGAAAAGCAGCGCTCCAATTGAAACATTTACTGTATCAAGGACGTCTGCTGTTCCCGCGGCGTTCGGCTGCTGAATGACTGGGGTCGTTTGTGAATTAACCTCCGATTGTTTCCGGACGTTCCATGTTTCGTCCGAAGAGGACGAAAGTTACAAATGACTACAAGATTACTGGCTCCGTTCTGGGTACGGGTGTCAGTGGGAAAGTCCTCAAATGTGTCCAGCTTCGCACTGGCACCACTTACGCTTTGAAGGTAAGGCTTTTGGTAATACTATCCTAAACATGTCAGGGCGTTTGTTTCCTATGAAAAACCATTCACGTCCTCTTAGAGACACTAGTCTCAGCGCCTCAAATACTCGCTTCCTTAGCAATGCGTTGGACAATCGCGGTTAGAATGTTTATGGTCTACTAAGTACATCACGCCTGTCGAATCATTCATGGCTTGCGGTACGATCATACCCTGTGGCGGATGTTCGATGGAGCAGGCGAAGTACGTCTGTCGTGTGAATGTTTTTGACGGTCGGTTATGAAGAAATGGATACACGGAGGGTGAGCAAGAGGTGCAAACAGATGGCCACACTTCAGATGCAGGTCGACTAATAGGTCTGGCAGGTAATTGAATATATATATATATATATATATATATATATATATATGGGTCGGAAGCCAAGTGCTCATCGTTTCTGAACGTGAAAGTTTGGATAACTCAGCATATTCTGTAGTGTCTTTTCACCACGTATGAACCAGAGAATGCATACTCAACTTCTTACTTCTGACAGGGTCTTGGTACCCAACTCAACGTTGGGTCGCTGCCTCATTTTTTCTAAAATTTTGCCTAGGAATTCCGAGAAACTGGAGAGTGAAGGAAGAGGTCGAATCTCAATGAAGGCTACGGTACGAGCTGTTTTGTGTAATGATGTGAGACAGCCTATTTGAGCACCGGAAACAAAACATCTCCCGGTCTCAAACGATCGTTGTTTCACGACCATCGCTCATGTGGATTGGTGTCAGCAAATGCGTAACGGGCCAACTAGAGAGCGAGTGGTCCCTTGTGCAGTCGAGACTAACGTCAAAGAATGTGTCCAGCATCAGGAGCTGCATTGGTTAGGCCATGTATTGCCCTTGCCGAGTCATTATTTGCCGAATTGGGTGCTGCTTTTCATACTCAGTTAAGAGTAGTGGAAGCAAGGAGTTGGCGAACCATCCACCTTGTAGGGGATTGTGAAAGAGATTTCCAAAAGTGTGGGTGCTACCGATGCGGTTCGCCCTGCGGAATGGGAATCGCGTGATCCTTGCTGTGCGTGGTTGGGGGCATTGCAAAATATGGCTGCTTGGATCGGTGGTGTTCTTGTTATCACTTCCTATCCAGATCGCCTGAATGACTGTCTGGAGGTGTTGTCATCTTGGAATGGTTTTGGTAGGCTACCAGGTTTACTTTTATCCTTTACATTATGATAAGGCTTCCAAATCACGGTTGTACGGCAGCGAAGCATTGGCGCTAAAGTTGGATTTTCTCCTGTAAGTGGTGATGATGATGATCGAAAGTTAAAAGAGCAGTAGTCTTAACAAATCCGTGAAGAAATTAGGTATTATACCCGGTAGGGTGGAGGAAGCTGTAGTCTTGGGCTTAGGAAGTGAGTTTGTTGTGGAAGTCTAACTACCATTGGAATAGGGCCTGCGAATCCCCAAGGGTGGTGATGCATGCATTCTGCACATTGTAGATGTAGCTATCCTCTTCATTCATGGGCCCAGATACGTATGATCCAAGTTCAGTACTTGGGCTTACGAATCCTTCCCCGGTGGGTTATGAAGAAATGGATACACGGAGGGTGAGCAAGAGGTGCAAACAGATGGCCACACTTCAGATGCAGGTCGACTAATAGGTCTGGCAGGTAATTGAATATATATATATATATATATATATATATATATATATGGGTCGGAAGCCAAGTGCTCATCGTTTCTGAACAGTTTGGTTTGGATAACTCAGCATATTCTGTAGTGTCTTTTCACCACGTATGAACCAGAGAATGCATACTCAACTTCTTACTTCTGGTCTTGGTACGAAGTGCTCATCGTTTCTGAACGTGAAAGTTTGGATAACTCAGCATATTCTGTAGTGTCTTTTCACCACGTATGAACCAGAGAATGCATACTCAACTTCTTACTTCTGACAGGGTCTTGGTACCCAACTCAACGTTGGGTCGCTGCCTCATTTTTTCTAAAATTTTGCCTAGGAATTCCGAGAAACTGGAGAGTGAAGGAAGAGGTCGAATCTCAATGAAGGCTACGGTACGAGCTGTTTTGTGTAATGATGTGAGACAGCCTATTTGAGCACCGGAAACAAAACATCTCCCGGTCTCAAACGATCGTTGTTTCACGACCATCGCTCATGTGGATTGGTGTCAGCAAATGCGTAACGGGCCAACTAGAGAGCGAGTGGTCCCTTGTGCAGTCGAGACTAACGTCAAAGAATGTGTCCAGCATCAGGAGCTGCATTGGTTAGGCCATGTATTGCCCTTGCCGAGTCATTATTTGCCGAATTGGGTGCTGCTTTTCATACTCAGTTAAGAGTAGTGGAAGCAAGGAGTTGGCGAACCATCCACCTTGTAGGGGATTGTGAAAGAGATTTCCAAAAGTGTGGGTGCTACCGATGCGGTTCGCCCTGCGGAATGGGAATCGCGTGATCCTTGCTGTGCGTGGTTGGGGGCATTGCAAAATATGGCTGCTTGGATCGGTGGTGTTCTTGTTATCACTTCCTATCCAGATCGCCTGAATGACTGTCTGGAGGTGTCATCTTGGAATGGTTTTGGTAGGCTACCAGGTTTACTTTTATCCTTTACATTATGATAAGGCTTCCAAATCAAGGTTGTACGGCAGCGAAGCATTGGCGCTAAAGTTGGATTTTCTCCTGTAAGTGGTGATGATGATGATCGAAAGTTAAAAGAGCAGTAGTCTTAACAAATCCGTGAAGAAATTAGGTATTATACCCGGTAGGGTGGAGGAATCTGTAGTCTTGGGCTTAGGAAGTGAGTTTGTTGTGGAAGTCTAACTACCATTGGAATAGGGCCTGCGAATCCCCAAGGGTGGTGATGCATGCATTCTGCACATTGTAGATGTAGCTATCCTCTTCATTCATGGGCCCAGATACGTATGATCCAAGTTCAGTACTTGGGCTTACGAATCCTTCCCCATAGGTGCTATTGACTCGGAGCTTGAGGTGATGGTACAGGTGATTAACTCACTCGTATTGGTGTTGTTTTAGCCTCAGATTTGCGATTCGATACATGTAAGCAGCTACCTTTCCGTTCTCTATCTCCATATGGACTCGCACTGGTCGAAATGTCAATCGCTCCTTGTTTGTAACATCCGCTTGTAGATCAGTCGATTGTAGCGATTTTTCAGATGACGATTCAGTAATTTGTTCCTTAAATTACCAATTGGGAGGGTAGATTGGGCAGTTTATCTGGTCCCCTGCAACAGATATCTTGCATAGGAGTTTCCGAGTGCGCACGAGCCTATCAGAAGAAGAATCAAAATGAGAAATATGCTATCATGTGAGTAAACTTCACAACCGGATAAGTTGTATCCAGCTTTCCCCAAATAGGATTTCTGGCGCCTAACAGTTGCCGTCTTTCCAGACTTGAAAGCCACCTTTGACCTTGACGTGCCCTGTGCTAGTGTCTATGATGCAAAGGTGTCACTCCTAAATTCTTCGTTCAACTTAAAACGTCGTGCGCTAACTTCCGTGGATGCTCGGCTGAGTTCAGTGATCCAGTGGTACCAGACAAGGCTATCCTCTCACTTTTGCTGCTCAGTATCGCTATCAATGTGATCAGGGAAGACTCACCGCTGGGCCCTAATGCTTATGGAATGGAAATGCTTCTACAGATATCGAGTGCGCCATCATAATACAAACAATAGTAAGTAACCTGAATAGTTCCGCCTCACGATTTGATATGCAATTCACCCCTGCCAAATGTTTCCGGTCACTGCTGTCTCCTTGGATAAGGACTTCTAAACGGGACACATCAACGGCAAGAGGTGAAAATAAGAATCGTTTAACCGTAGAATCCTTTCGGTGCCTAGCTGCCGTGCCAACGGGAGGAGGATAAAGGACTGGGATACTACCAGGTTTCCCAAGCCTATATGGGTCCAGTCGAGATTCTGAAGTTCGGTTCGCATTACGGACCTTCCTGTCCGCAAGCTGCTGCTTTAACCACTGATCTCTCTCGAGCTCTATTGGCTAGAGCCATTGACAAATGTGTTCTAGTCGCACACTGAACGGCGCATATGCACTGGAGCTTTTGCCTTCAATCCATAGCTTCCACTCCCGACCTTCCCGATGAAAAGTTAACCGTCACTCTGTTTCTTGCATCACTTCTATCTACTGCTACCTCCAGTGCATAGCTGAACACCCGTATTTTTCGGGATCTCCGGCGAATCAAACTGTGGTTTCTTCAGCCAGTGCACATGTACACGGTTTACAGCTGAAAATAATGGGTTTGGCGAAGGACACCTCGTCTTAACAACTGTTCGTTCTCTTGTCTACCACGAACAGTCAACAGCTGGAGGCCTCAAGGTAGAGCAAGACTAGTCTTGGCGGCTTATTTAGTTTATACACGGAGGGTAATGATAATTCCCAGTGTATTTTGAAATATTTTGTTAGCCATCACTTGTTTTTTCAGATGTGATCACGTCCCTGTTCTACATGCCTATCACCCACAGAACCAACTTGATCATATCACCATCATCTTACGATGGCGAGACTCAGTTTTAGACTCGAGTCATGCTTCCATGAGGTGTAGATTTTTATTAAACTTCTCTAATAATCTCAAGTAAGAGCTCTTTTTGGGCAGTAGGAAACGGATGCTATCCACAAAAAACTCACCAAAGCTTACAGCGCAATGCTTCGTGGGTGGCCTCCTTGGGAGAAACAACTACAGCTATACTGCACCCCATAAAATGCTTGTGGTATTTCCGGGCGCACGCCATCCACGCTACAATCCAACGTAATCTACTATAAGCGGATTGGGAATGGACCTAGTGCTAGCTTGCCCCAATCATTTTGGTTTGCTCACACATACAACCTGGATAAAAACTGGCAGCAAAAAACCATTGACATCCTTTAGCACCCATAACTTCAAGCTTCTTCAGCCTTGCTAAAGGGGGATACGCGGACCCCGTTCTGATGAGCGTCTTGGACTGACAATGAAAGCGAAACAGTAAGCTCGAACAGTAACCTGACTATTCGGTATTCCCTACAGGCTATTTATAACCAAGCAGGCTATTAATAAGTTGTACCTATGACTTACCTTAATCGGTCAACGACTACGCGAAGTTGGGTTACCCTATCCACTTACCGTATAGTAATGGCAGGACGGGATAACTGCAAGCTTTCATTAGTATTTCTACACTTTCCCAGGCCTGCGATTGCCCCTTGCTTGCTCCTTCCTGAATTGGGTACGGAAAACAGCACTCTTTGCGTGTGCTATACATTCTTCAATTGAAGTTCCTGCTGCACACGTTTTCCAGTTGTCCCGTTACGTATTTGTTGGCACCTATGCACATAATTTATGATTCTAAGACAAAGTTTATGCAAGATCTGAAATTCGCCACCGTACAGGTCTGAAATTGGCACACGAGATCGGCACGTTGACCTTATCGGTCGTACTACGCTTAGAGTTTATGAACTTTCATGGTAAGAAAGCGTTCAGCTGTAGCACCCTTCCGGTGCCTAGCTGCCATGCGACCCGAAGGAAGCACGAGGGCTGGGATACTGCCAGGTTGCCCAAGCCTAGACAGGGGAAGTCGAGAGGCGGAAGTCGGATTCGAACCACGCACCTTCCGGTCAGTAAGTTCGCGCTTTAACCACTTGGGCCATCTCACCCTGATGGTAAGAAAGGTGCTTTACGAACTCGAATGCTTCTCTGTGGATAGCAAGCGGCGTCTATACTGACTGTATGGCTTTACCTTTGGTGGTGCAAATCGTGTGCCAAAAATGAGATGACTTTGGTCAGTCCATCCAAAACCACTACGCCTTTTTTCCTGTTTGAAGACGAGAGCGATGTCATCTGCACATTCGTCAGCAATCAAATAACCATCTACCGTTCGTCTCATTATCTCGTCGATCACGAAATCGGATACAAAGTGGGAGATTGGACATACTTGTTAGACACAACACTTCCTCTTTGCCCTTACATACAGAAATTTACTCTCGGAGCATCTTATATGAAGCAAGCATGTTCAGCGGAACATAGCGATTAATGGAGTCAAATGCTCATTGCAATTCCAAGAATATTAAAATATGTATAGTGCTGTTCTAGAGCCTGGCGGCGTGCGCAGATGTTCTACGTAGTGCTTACAAGTCCAAAGCCTTACTTGTTGCCCTCTCGTCAGTGCTCTACCGGCCATCGTAAGGTGACGATTTTCAGTTGGACTGAAGCCAAGCTGATCCCTGTCTGTCACAATCTTGTTTTGTGGATGAATTTTGAAAACGGACGCTATTACCGAATCTCCCGAAGCAATTCACCGTCTAGAGCCCTAGTGCATTTGAAGATTCCGGCTGAGTGTCAGCTTTTGAATGACTTCAGATTACTTGGTCCAGCCGTCAAATTGTTCTTCTTTATCGAAGATTGTCACATCACTTTGATTCTTGATAGCTTCACCCACAGGTGGTTTCCTGGAGCCGGCCGCAAGGATGAACTGAAATAGTCTTCCGGCACTCTCGATTTTTTTGGACCTTTTCTTGTTCCTTGCCCTTCCTTGTCCACCAGGCTTTACGGACGGCATGTGTGCTAAGTTTAACTGGACATATGGTTATTTGGACTGAATTATGCCAGGGAGTGGTGAGAATATTTCTCCGGGAGTCAAAAAGTACCACTGTTTGCAAGATAATTCAGTGGTTAGAGCGTGAATTTACGGACGAATTTACTGGCGAATTTACTGAAGGTCCGTGGTTCTTAACATTACCCCAGCCCTCGTGCTTCCTTCTAATGGCATGGCAGTTAGACATCGAGAAGGTGCTACAGCCGATCTCGTCGAGGATGCATCGACCATGTCACTACCATGGGACAAGTTTTTGAGCACATTGGCTGTTTTTCCTGCTACACGACTGGTTTGGATCAAACCCGAACTTCATGCTTGCAGACGAGCCAATCGACATGGTAGTTAAATTTGTTTACCTGGACAGCTGTATAAGTTTCGGTGGACTGCCTGGAGATGAGATCATTTCCCGAGTAGGAAATGCCAGGACAGTTTTTGCCAACCTACGACACCTATGACACCGACGTGATGTGAGTGTGTCTATAAGGGGCAGGGTTTACACTACAGTGTTGCACAGAGGACATACAGATGTCAGTGTTTGACCATCGGTGTCTCCGGAGCGTTGGTCGGGTCTGGTGGGAACATCGGATAAGCAATCCTAAGGTACGCCAAATTGTCCCAGGAGGAAGGCACGCAACAGGTCAATTACTCACGCTTCGTAGGTTACGCTGGTTGGGTCTTGTACTCCGGATACGAGAAGGCCCTCTGCATCACAGAGCTCTTTTAGCTCACCCCTGCGCTGAGTAGAAGCGACCACGAGGTGGAGATCGTATGATCTGGCAACGATGTATGAAAACACTAACCACTAAGCTTAGTTGGGTCGACAACTGCCGCCTCCCTTGATGGGGACCCGAGACTTCAACCGGATACGAGAAGGCCCTCTGCATCACAGAGCTCTTTTAGCTCACCCCTGCGCTGAGTAGAAGCGACCACGAGGTGGAGATCGTATGATCTGGCAACGATGTATGAAAACACTAACCACTAAGCTTAGTTGGGTCGACAACTGCCGCCTCCCTTGATGGGGACCCCGAGACTCAACTCACTAATTGTTAATGGTACTTGGAGAAAGAGCCCAATCGTGCAATAAGTGGTGTCTTCATCGAATCTCTCGCCTTCCGTGTGTTGCTGTCGAGAGAAAACATGCCATCGCCTCCAAGGCTTGGTTGTATGACTCACACTGCCACTTTTGGCAGCTGCAACGGATGTGCCTATGGTACACGGTTTATAAATGAAAAATTCATTGATTGATTGATTGTGTCCTTCCGTCACCCACAGAGAGGTGTTCGTTCGATAATTGCAGCGTCTTACCTCAAGTTGGTGAATGGTCTGGATAACGCTTTTCTCGTCTCACTAGGTATGGCGTTATGAAGTTTGCGATAACTTGTTCTTTTAAAATATGCACTACGCCGGCATTTCCGCCAAGCATCGCTGCCAAGTGTTCAGCCATATGTTTTGTTTGAGGGGCTTCATTTTCCCCCTGTCTAAGTTTGGACTCCCAGGTAATATCTCTGTCCACTTACAATCAGAATTCGTGCAACCAACGTACACAGACTTACACAAGCACGGTTTTGAGATATGAGTCAGATCTGTCGGACCTCTATAACTCACCCCCTACTTCTTAAGCTTTCAAAGCGTTTATGCTGACAGTACTTGTGTTTGTCGAGCTATTCACTAGTTCTTGAACTACATATTGGTACCTCCGACTCTTGCTTGGTACCAGTAATTCTATCTTTGTAATGAGGTTGTTGGTGTATTCAGCCTTTGATAATTCAGTTGGATACAGTTCGGATGTTCGTCTTCTGTAGAATTGAGCATATTTTTCTTGAATATATAAACCTGTTATTGGATTCAGTACTTGGGATAGGGATCTGCGCACAATAGCATGAACTCGTATTCTCAAGATCACATCAGCTCTAAGTGTTTAATGCGTTCAAGCTCTGTAGGTCCTTTTGACCTACTGATGTTCCTTCGTCTACAACTTCATCCAGATCTTAGAAGACTCGTTCGCCTCCAGACGTGAGGTTGAACTACATTGGCGTGCCTCGGCCTGTCCCAACGTAGTCCGAGTGGTTGATGTATATGAGAACAACAATGAGCACACATCCAAGAAGTACCTACTTATGGTAATGGAGTGCATGGAAGGAGGCGAACTGTACAGCCGAATCAAATCCCGCAGCTCTTTCACTGAGTCCGGTAAGCACTCTATTTTCCGATCATCACTTCGGTTTCTATCCCCTCCGTATACAGAAGCTGCACGAATTGTCCATCAGATTGCATCGGCCATTCACCATTTGCACACGAAGAGTATCGCACATCGTGACTTGAAGGCAAGCATTTCTATTACTACTATGGTGGTCAAAATCTTATCCACTTCCAGCCAGAAAACCTCCTCTTCGCCTCCAAAGATCCTAATTCCCCACTAAAACTGACGGACTTTGGCTTTGCTCGGGAAGTGACAATGGCGAATTCGTTAAAAACCCCTTGCTATACCCCTTACTATGTTGGTATGCATTTTTTATTTGCTTGATAATGTTGATCTTTCTCCATCCTCAATATAGCGCCCGAAATCCTCAACCGAGTGAATTATGACAAATCTTGTGACTTATGGTCGCTCGGTGTGATCACCTACATTTTGTATGTGTCATCCCCATTTGTCTAACCCGACTTTTATAGATTGTGTGGATTTCCTCCTTTTTACAGCAAAAATGGTGCGCCCATTTCTCCGTGTATGCAAAGGAATATTATTTATGGCAACTACGATTTCCCCGCCTCTCATTGGGCACATGTTTCCAATGAAGGTGAGTGGATTTGCTTTGTCATCTGTTAAGTTCACACGATCTCCGCTTTGTACAATAAACCCGTAGTCCATCCGTGTTAAACTAATGTGCGGTAGAATGGCCTATTGCCCTATTTTCTGCACAACCAGAGTGGTTTTGGTGGGTCAGATTTCAAACAGTAGATATGATTTTTTGTGTTGTAGAATGAATATAGGATTAATGGACCGATGGTCAAATTCCAGCTCTAGGTTCTTATCTGACAACAAGACGGTGAAAAGTAGAGAGTTGTATATGATAATACACTACTACTTATAACAGCTAAGCGTGTTAGAGAATTAACTAACCTCGATCCTCTTTTAAATTGTTCGGTTGATAGTATTCACCTCCACATGTAGCACTCGTGTTGAGTGGATCTCGTGATTCATGTCTCCCAGTTGTTGCACATTTTTAACCAACAGGTTTTTTGTCCACTGCCCGAATTTCCGATAGTTCCTGTTTCGGTTGACGTAACCTCGCCCTGTCTACCTTTGTACATCCCATTGTTTGACCTCGGTGAGGCTGAGCAGTTTTGGTGCAAAACTGCCGATCGAAAGATCCTTTGTTTCAACCTAACTCGTCGCTTTTCCACTTCTCCTGTCTAGGCTTAGGTAAACTTCCCTGTTTTTGCCTTCGAGCTGCACGGCAGCTATGTACTGAATAAGTATCACTTTTATAATTGGTAAACTTGAACCGAAAGGATGCCACAGCTTACTGGAGAGACGATGACACCAACTTTGACATTTAATAAACCCCAGAACATTCCATACTTGTGGACCCGCTGTTCGGTGCAGCTGTACTGTAGTACAGGAAAGCAAATTGTTACCTGAAACATACTGTGGTGACTATTTCCGGCAAACGCTTTCCGGACAGTTTTTGACTAGGTTCTTAGCCATAATCTCTTCGGCTTGGAATACATCTAGAAATGCAAAGCTTACAAACTGCACCGTCCTTTTGTTGCTTTTGACTCCATGCACACTGTAAAGTATGGCCGTTACTGGCATGGGAAATCATCAGAATGGCGTATGAAAACCCTCTTGTGTAGTGATCGTGGGTGATAAATTACATTCCGCGGAACCACTCAGTCCCTGTTTACTTTTTAGAGTATTTCTTTCTTCTGTTCTTGGTTGGAAGTGAAAATGAAATCCGTGGACAACCCGAAACAGTTCGCACAGCTTGCTCCTCATTTCCATGTTTCCAGACCTACTGAATCCTGGCTTTAATGCAGAGCTCTAGCACCCACGGGGTCTGCTTGCTCGCTTAGGAACTATTGACCGCTCTAGAATCAGAAGTTTTTGTGCCTACAAATAGGTGTTCTACTTTGAATTATTGCGACTATGCTGGATCGTGCAGTGGGTGAGAAAGTCATCATGGCTGGAATACTAACTGTGAATCTGGTGCTTTTGCTCGAGTGGTTCGGGGGATTTCAGTGCGTGATTACGCCTCAAATTAAGGCTCCTTGTACACAGTTGTCTGCTGCTCCCTTAACATCGACTGAAATATCACCTTAGTAATCTCGACCTGTGGGTCCTAATACCCTTGGAATACTAAAGGACACATCAGTTCAGTATTTTTGGCCGTGCTAGAGTAAACATCTTTGCGAGTTAGAACTGAGAAGTCGTAGATTCTTGCAAACAAGTAACCGGCTCTCCGGACACGGATGAGCAGATGGGGCCTTTTCTCCTTAGCGTTCTTCTAAGTATCTTTTGCCCTGTCATGTTAAACCGTCTCGCATTCTTTGATAGATGTATCAATACAATTTTTGGGGTAACCAACTAGGGATCTCAAAGAGTCCTGATGAAAATCTAAAGATGTCAGTTAAGGCGTCCTGTGAGGGCCTGAAGTTTGGCTCCTCTTTTTGAACACCTTAACTTGGTACCGAGTTGTCTTTGGCATTTTTGTTCAGGAGACTTTGTGAGTAATGTCAGGTTACCTCAACGCGAAACATCGTAGACAGTTTGCGGCCCGAAAAATTTCATGTCTGAACATAATCGTCTTGCCTTCATTTTGTCACCCACCTATTGCATGCGATTTTCCGGATCTTTTTCTCGTTGCACACCAACTACACCACAAGTTGTTTGTCATTTCATCAGCAGTTCTTCAGTTGCACCAAATGACCTTTCTTATCCAAAGATCTATCGATTGTTTTCACCCGTCATACCGAACTTATTTTTAGCCAAGGACCTCATCAGCCGCTTGTTGCTTACTGAACCAGAAAGGCGTCTCTCAAGTGCTCAAGTGATGCAGCACCCTTGGGTCGCCAAGTATACATCCGTACCTGACACACCTTTGACCACTACTCAGTTCCTATCCACCACCGTGTGGGAACACGTGAATGTGAGTTTGTTTTGCCATGAGGTTTTTTTTTGCGTTGGATGTCTATTATTTGTACAGGATTAGAGTATGTCGGTTTTTGGTGTATGTGACCCCGTGCGTACGGTGGAACTTCATCACATGGACATTGTTGTGTGGTTTGTACTGTGATCGTTCGAATGTATGAAGCTTGTTTCTCCAATCGATTGGAAAGCGCCTGGAGCACACATTGTTTCAGCAAAGTTTGAAGAATCCACCAATCATTTTTTGGAGCTTTTTCGAGCCGTAAATTCCTAGCAAGTTGCGACTTAACCTTTAGTTGAATATCATTTCTTATGCTGATTTTTATAGGCGCTAGGAACATTCTGTCTCCACCATAAGGGAAAAAAGTAAATAATCGTTTAGCTATAGCACCCTTTCGATGCCTGCCGTGCCACCCGAAGGAAGTACGAGGGCTAGGATACTGCTAGAATGCCCAAATCTAGACAGGGGAATTCGAGTGGCAGAAGTCGGGTTCGAAACACGGACCTCCCATTCAGTAAATTCGCGCCCTAACCACTGAAACTTCTCGCTCTCACCACCACCTCCACCATATGCATTACAAAACCACCTGGTAGTCTGAAAGCCAGCTGGCTCTGTGCTACCTTGCAAGTCGAATATTCAGTCTCGCAGATGGAGTCCATTGAGAGGTAAGGTTTTACCACAGGTATGAATTGTAGATAACTTGCGACTATCGTAGCCGTAAATCGTGTGGATTCACTGTGTTGCACAGTCGGGGATGGTAAGGACCCAATTTGATCCCTTGTCCTCCACCAGACAGTGTCTCTTTCTATTAAATTCTTTTCCTGAGTCCTTATTGTTACTCGATGTCCGGTGACGCGTAACAAACGCATTTTCAGTTCGATGGAATGATATGAAAGCAGATTGCCCCTCCTTATCTTTTAGTTAATCTTACTTACATCACTACATACTGCATAACGCTTTTTTAATGTCCTGAATAGCTGCTGACCATAATATTAAGGCTTTCCTGAATGCCTGTTCATTGTTGCTTTCAGTGGTGTAGGGTTTTGGTCGCCTGTATGTGCGTGTATCCAGCGCAGGACTAGGCCTTTATCTGGCTATCTAGGTGAGAACAGCAGTTCATTGACTGCTCTGGAGCGAAGTATCAGGGTAGCCTAGAACATGCCTAGGCAGATCGAAATGTGAAGCAGTATGAAAAGGAAGGCAAACAGACCTGGTAGATGTTTGTAGACATTCCATTTTCTTCCCAGTCTTCTCGGTTCTTCAGTCTGCCGATGATTTTGCCTGTTTGAAGGTCATACTTGGCGTCAAATGATGACTTGATATCTCAATGATGACTTGATATCTCAATGATGACACCTGGTTTACTGTTTGTGCGTTATGGAGCTGTTGGAAATTTTGAATTCAATGTTAGCCCCTGGTTTCGTTGGTTTCATTTATTGTAGCACGAATTTCAGGTTGAGTAGCTTGTCTTTCCCTTGAGTCTTGCTGCAAAAAAATGCTTCTGTTATATTCCTAATGAACGTACCTTGCAAACAAGCCTGGATGTGAACTTCCGCAGAAGTGCCCATATGTTTCCAAATGCTGTTGTATTTCTTTAAGAACTTAGTAGTTCATGCTTGTTCCCATTTCCGTTCGGTTTCGTGTAACACCATGGTGCCTGTCCGTCCATCTGTTGACCTCGCGTGTTGTTCAAATGCCCTTCGCTTGAGTAGAGCGGCCTAGCATGCAAGCAGTAGTTTTATAGCAGTCTTGCTAGTTTGTAGATTGGACATTTTAATCTTCGACTGGACACTTTCTAACTCAAAGTTTACCACCACTTTCACCTTCCACAACTGAGTGTTCATCTTACAGACTTTTCTTTCACTTTGTTTCACCTCAGGATGCTATGACCAAGGAATTGAGGACTATGCGACTGGACGTGGAGAACGTGCCTCATCTACTGCCCGTCGAGCAGGCGAAGAATCCGCTCCTAACAAAGCGAAAACTCAAGCAAGATGTCGATAGGAACAAATAAAGTTGTTGGTCTACATCCTAGTTTTATCCACCGCCAAGCGCCTTCATTCATACCAGTCAACACTTCCTTTTGGATTTTTTGTATTACCATATGCATTTTTTGACTAGCTCCTGTTCAGTTACTGCTTCCGGTCGTGTAAGAAATAAATTTCATATCATTGTACTGGCGGGCTTCTTTCTCATGCTTCACTCACCCGCCCGGATGCCACAAATATGCCGGTTGACCAATCGTATTCCAGATACTATTTTTGGTAGTCGCACTCTTGCTCTGCCTATCCCGAACTCGCCTTTGTACGTGACTATGGCGGCTTCCGGACTAATTATGTCGTCGCACGTTAGAGTTTCAAAAGTGCGTCTACTGGTCTTGCTTGCTTGCGAGAACGACAGAAATGATTTCATCCAGTGTGTTTGGGGTATGTACACATTGACTTGTGCAAATCAGCTTGTTCAGGAGCTTGTTTGTTACCCCGAATTTATTGGAAACTGGATGTTACCGTGGATGGTGTCAGTCGTTGTATGGACAACTCAGAGCAGTGCAAACACCCACTTAAGTGCTGAAACAACGCCTCCAGAAGGGCCATTGGTGGAGAATCACATTACTGATGCACGACAGGAGGTGGACATTACCCCAATGACTTCTCCTCTTGGCAGCCAACAATCTTAATGGAGGTACTTCTTTCCATACGCGTTAAATTAGAACTGGGACGAATTTTGATGACCACAAATAGAGTGGGAGTTAATGGTTCATTATACAGCCCGAGAAACATCCTGAACGGTCAAAATAATCCTATAGCTTTAACGCCCTTTCTGTGCCTGGCTGCCGTACAACATGGATGAAGCTCGATGGCTGAAATATGGTCAACTTGCCCAAGCACAGACGGGAGCAGTCCAGATGCTAGAGTTGGGTTCCAACTACAAACCTTTCAGTCAGTAAATTCGTGCCCTAACCGTTGAGCCGCCCCGATATATTTGCGGGCATGGGTAGTCGATCTTTCTGCAGTCTGTTTTCCTGTGTACCTTAGCCTCTCACCCGCCCCCTCTGGAGGAAATGACTTTAGCGAGCCAAAAAACACTCATCTCAGTAGATCACATAAAATACAACAGGGTGTATTTTATATACCACATTTACCAGTGGTCGCTAACCGGAATATCCGTGCTTCACGCTCAACTTCTGCAACAACTGCTCAGTCTGATGAGTGAGAGTCAGAGGGTTTCATTATGATGACTAGCTGAATGTGATATCTTACATACCTGTGGACAGTGGTTTTCTCGCTTGGTTTCTTTAAGGAGCGTGATTAGCTGTCAGGGCGCCGCTTAGCCCGGAATATGCATTTAATGTAGTCTTCATCTCAGTTTGAGGTCTCGGCGCCTGCGACGAGTGCCTTGAAAGGAAAGTCACTCCCTCGAGATGGCTCAATGGTCAGAGCGCGAATTTACTGACCGGAAGGCCCGTGGCTCGAACCCGACCTCTGGATCTCGACTTTCCGGTCTAGGCTTGGGCAACCTGGCAGTATCCCAGCCCTCGTGCTTCCTTCGTGTGGTACGACAGTTAGGTACCGAAAGTGTGTCACAATTTTTGTTTTATTTTCTAGCCCTCGTACTACCGGTCCCGAACAATAATCAAGCAAGCTCTCCCAGAGGGCGTTGCAGTTCCCTTTTCGTTCGTCACTTAACCTGACCTGGAAGTTTAGTACACCAGGGTGTGCTTGTTGGGTGTCTGTTCGGCTTTTAATTCTGTACTTTGTTCTATTGGATACCCGTTTTATCCGTGACCAAAACCTGTTCGAAAGTATAACATTGTGAACGTGAAGGAAGATTTCGACTCCTGACCGTTGTTGCGCAATCACAATTGCTAGTAGATGACCGGAACTGTCGCTTAGTTGGACAGTCACAGATAAAGAAGCGAGACGGAAGAGAATTGTGTCTGAAACACCACCTTGTAAAAACTAACTGGCCAATGGTGGCGACGTATTACTCCATTGGGAAGAATCTCCAACCCTCAATGAGGGTTGTTACGGACCATGGTTTTTCGGCTAAGCAACGAGGTTACACCGGCTCTCATTCCCGGCTCCTCTCTGAATCGAACCATAATCAAATGTTGAAACTCAATAATGAACTGTTTCCCCTGACGATAATCTTGAGGTCGAATCCCACCACCATTGTATGGGAATTTGAACTTCTCTGTCGAGAAGAGGTAGAGGGATCAGCTTAAAGGCCATGTTGTACGGGGGTCAACTGTAACAGTTCAATGTCGTTGGTAGAAGGACACCCGAAGCTAAAACCCTCGTTTTAAAACTCATGTGACTCGTAAACTTAGGTGGAAAAACGAGCAAGCACGAAGAACTAATGTCTGTAATTACGTTGTTTGACCAGCTGTGCTTGGTTTGTTGTCTACGGTCATGGAGCAATTAGGCTTCACGACGGGCGATTCAGGATTCAAATAACCAGTCTGGAAAGAGGTGAACTCCCAACTGTATCATTCCAGTACCACGGAGAACGTGAGTAGTCGACTTCGCCTGCACGTAAAGTTTCATTCAAGTTCATTGTAAAAAATAAACGATGAGTTTTTGAAGCCCACACTTGATCGGTCTCTCTTGGGAAGATTTGTTAAGTATGGATATAGTTGGACGCAGGAACTTTGTGGTTTGGATGCATTAGGTGAGGTAGCATTAATTCGTTATGAATTTGTCACAGAACCACAATGTGGAACAACTAGCCGTTGTAGCTTAATTCCATAGTAAACTGGGGGTCGCGGATAGCTGCTGTGGATTAGCTGTTGCTGTCAAGCTCACTAGATCGATCGGCTTTTCCATTATATTATCACCGCAGCAGCATAACACTGATGTTCGATGCCGGGGCTTTGCTCCTGTCAGCCATAATTTATTTGAAAGCCCAACTGTGCGGAAAAGGAAGGGGAAGGAACCTACCTGTTAGCCTACTACAATCACTCCTAGGCGCCTACACATTCAGACACCTGGAATGTTCGCACCAGAGGCGATTACTTAGCGGTATCTAAGTTCATGTGATGTGCGGATTGCTAGGAACCGATGAAAGAAACGAAATCTAGTCAATATTTTTTACGACCTTCGATGGTGGACACTATACTCCATTCGCGTTGTCCCAGTTGGACGTCAGCACCACCTGCCGATATCCCCAGATTAAAACTTTATAGTCTAAATAATGGAACAGTGTTGCCTTCAGATGTGATATTCAGTCCAAGCTGCTGAGGTTGTGTTGTGTGGGCTTCAGCTGCACATGTTTTACCATCCTCGCTCGAGGTTGCTACTCTGTCCCGTTCCGCAGGTTCTACACACATGAAGTGGTAAATATTAGTTGTCAGTGACATGTGGCCACAATTCAGCTCTTCGTACTGGAACGCGGGCAGCCAAGATGAATCATATGCACGAAAATGGCGCGTACGTGCATTCCTTTGTTCTTTGTTCCACTCCTGATTGCTTTGTTCCTGCGTCTAGAAAGATCGATTCGAGAACCAGGTGCTCCAACATAACCCGAATGATGGAGCTTTATTCCGCGCACTATTCTAGAACTCGTTAAATCAGTAATAGAGAAAACGGTCAGAAGATCCAAGCCTTTTCAGAGAGGTCTCTGGGAGGTGCTTTATTTTTTGCTGGAAGTGTTAAGTATTTGGAACAAATATCATCTGATGAATTTTACCAGGTTGCAGTTGACGATATATTGGTTTCGCTTAGCTGCCACGTGGAACACATTTGAGTTTCAGGTTGCAGCTAGAATGTCAAACATAGAGTGCATCCGATCAGATCATAATCTGGTAAGGAAACTTGGGAATCGACGTTCCCTGGTTTGTGTATAAATTTCTACCGACCATATTAATTTCGTTAGTAGACAAACACAATATAAATGGAAGCATGTTTTGCCTGACACTGGCGCTGGATGTTTATTTGTTCACTGCGAGTGAACGTACCACCAGTTCTACTTCTGATAGCAGTGTAATTTTCATATATTCAGCGTCTTCATTTGGACGGCTAGCAAATATAAGTTGTACGTCTCGATGACAGTGGCAAAATGTACTTTATTCATCCCAAATTTCTCACGATGGAGCGCAACTTCAGTTCGTACAATTCGTTTTGTCATTTTCTTTGCTGTTTTTAGCTACCAGATTGTGGATTGGTCCCTCCCTATAGTACACTTTTGAAGGCAACCCCAATACATCTTGCACAGTTTGGTGGTGTGGAATTTTCTCAAAGCTTTCCCCTTAACTTTTGCGCAATATCAGCACGAGCCCTGCGGGGACAGGCTCTACTATTTCGATACTCTGATCCCCTGAACGAACGGCGGCCTATGAGAGAATTACGGCCCAAAGACAAGACGATGACAAAGTACTCAATAATTTGCCTTACAAATCTACAGGTTGACTTGCGATGATGGCCTTGGACCTTGTTTGAAACCCCAGTTATCTTCAGAAGTGATTTTTTACACAAGCTACACGTGCAGTGCTGGGAAAAATCGAGCGAGTTTTCCTTCCGGTTTGATTTGAAGGATGAATATACACCTAGGGCTCAATGAGCATCTTTTGTATGGTGCTAAGACCGGTTACATTTCGTGATTGTTTTTGGGTGAGCGATGCTATTTCGAGGAGTAGCCTAATCCGATACCGTCGTAGTTCCCTAATATGTGCATCTTCGAGGCATTAGACTTTACTGAGGAAACTGCTTGTATCAAACTAATCCGCCATTGGCTAATTATCAGCATCACAGAGGACACTAGTCAACTAGTGGCTGAATACTTCCTGTTGGTTAGGTCGACTACTCACTTATCTGAATGTTTGTATTTCGTTCCAGTAATGATTGTCTTCATAAACCAGTGCTATGCCGAATTACAGAGTGAACAATATGTACCATTTCTTGATTGTGTCACGTTCAACTGCACTGCTATCTCACTTAAGCGAGTACACATAAGTGAGTATATGCAAAGTACTCGCCGCTCCCCATTATCTCATTTCGGATGATGCAGCATACGCATCGATGGCATAAATAGTGGTTACTGTTTTTAGTATGCAGAATTTAAACCTTTTAAGTTATTCTTCTTTCTTATCGGTGATTATCTTTGTGGAGGTGATTACTCGGGTGCTTTGAATGTGTGTTAGTCGATGGAGTAGCCGCAACACGT